TCATGATGACATCTGCAGGTCTGAAAGTGAGGACTGAGTATTTTAATGAATCCGCTGATGGAGAGTATCTTTATACTACAGGTGTGGATTGCCCTCAGATAGCTCTGGAGTTTGGACACGCTGGGACATAGGTCCCTCTGGCATGGGATTTAGCTCTCAGGGCAAATAGGCCAGTGCTCTCGCCCTCCGACACGTGCTGGGCACACAGCCTTCCCTGTGGGTGCCATTTTAACTTGCGTCAAGTTTCTTAGTGATCGGTGTGGGGTCAGGGGTGGAAGGTTGGGGACGTGTAGACTCTTTGAATGGCTGCTGGTCCCACAGCTTAGCTTCTGGTCTTGAGGAGCTAACCCTGAGCCCTAGTTTAACTCTGAATTCCAACTGGCTGTTAGGGTAACTCCAGGCAGACATGTTTCAGCACAACCCAGGCCAGTTTGGGTATTCCAACTGGCTGTTAGGATAACTCCAGGCAGACACGTGTCAGTACAACCCAGGCCAGTTTGGGTTTGGTTTTTTTTCAGTCGCTTCTCTAAGTAAAGAAATAAATCACTTTTTTGCCTGAAAATACTATGAGCAATGAATTGTTTCATGTAGATCCACCTACCTGATGGGTTGAACACAGTTATGGAAGATAGCACATTTCAGTCGGCGTGTAGGATGAAAATCCCTAAGACCCCCATGAGGTTGAAGTGAGAGATGAATTAGGGGCCACACAGCCAGCTCTCACTGCGTGCTCTTTGGAGCAGAGAGTGCACCCCGCGCTCCTTTTACACAGTGCAGCTGCCCTGCCCAGAGGCACGTGGGATCCTAGCTTCCCCACCAGGGGTCGAACCTACACTCGTCTGCAGAGGAAGTGCAGAGTCTCAACCACTCAAAACTGCTGCTTCCCAAGCTGGGTCCACAGACCCGGTAATCAGGTTATAGACACCACCCTTGGACCACCTCCACCAACTCCAACAGAAGAGTTTGGAGAACCCACCATTAAAACCACAACCCTCATCCAGGCCAGGTATTCCATAGTGTTCTTTTGAAGTCCTCCAAGAAAACAAGAGTCTATAAAACCATCTCCTATTGTAAAGAGCAGTTCTCTGAACATTTTTCCTTCTACCTACATAAACCTTTTGTACCTGAGAGAATGGCTCCTCTTCTTTGCCAAGGAAGGCCATCATCTATCTGCACGATTTTTTAAAATTAGTTGTTTATTTGGCTGCGCCAGGTCTTCATCAGGGCACGTGGGATCTTTAGTTGTGGCATGTAGGATCTTAGTTCCCGGGACCAGGGATTGAACCTGTGCACCCTGCATTGGGAGCATGCAGTCTTAACCACTGGAAACCAGAGAAGTCCCCTACATGCATGACTGATCCCATCTGGCCTCTGGCTTCCATCTTGCCTCGCTTGTTCACAGCCTTTACCCTTCTCAATTTTTATGCTATTATTTGTCCCCAGCCCTCCCCTCCCCCACTTGAGAGTATTCCTTCTTACTGCATCTGTGACTGTATCCTTCTATGTAGGTAGAAGGAAAAATGTTCAGAGAACCGCTATTTACAATAGGAGATGGTTTTAGACTCTTGTTTTCTTGGAGGACTTCAAAAGAATACTATGGCATACCTGGCCTGGATGAGGGTTGTGGTCCTAATAGTGGGTTCCTCAAACTCTTCAGTTGGAGTTAGTGGAAGTGGTCCGAGAATGGTGTTTATAACCTGGTTACCAGGTCTGTGGGCCCAGCTTAGGTTCTTCTATTTCTCTGATCAGCATTCCTCTTCCCACCTAAATAAGTACTCCTGAGGTTTTATCTCCAGACCTCCTCTCTTCCGCTTTTCTTCTGAGGAGTTTTGTTCCCCTTGATAGAACTTCCTTGAGCACATCTGGGATGATAGTCCCAAATCTTTATTCCCTTCAGCCCTAGACCAGCCTTTGTAAGTTTTTACTTGACATCTCCGCTTGCCTGCCAGACCCAGACTCCTCACCCTCCACTGGACTAGCTTCTCCCTCTGGCTGCCTGGTCTAAGTCAATGTCAGCACACAGGCTGCAATTCTAAAGATCACTGAGCTTAACATGAACTTTTTCCACTATCATCATCATTATTTTCCTACCTCATTGGTTCCCTGAAACTCAGCAGCTTTCCATTTTTTAAATTCATAGTTTCCCTTCTGCAGAAGAAAGAACAAAATCAAACTGGTTTTGAAGAGTCCTAATTTTCTAAACTTGCTTACAACCCAGAGCTCTGATTTTCTTTGACATTCGTGGGTGCAGACAAGACCCATCCAATTTCTTCCCCAGGTTTATTCTAAGTGGAATGAACCTAGAAGGACCCTTGACACTGAGGTCCTGGAACTGCTAGGATGCAAACCCAAGACTGTTACATTTGGTGGAGTGCTTGCTCCCAGTTCCCTGAACACACCCAAGCTTTCCTTCTGCCATGTTAATATTCCCTTCCCTCCTCATTGCTCAAAATTTACCATAAACAGCAGAATCTGTAATGTCTCCCTCCTTTGGACCATTTTAAACCATGCCTATTATGAGTGTGAACTTTGTTATCTTTTGTCTTTCTTTTTTTTTTGTCACTCTGCATAGCCTTGCAGGATTTTAGTTCCCTCACCAGGGATTGAACCTGGGCCTCAGCAGTGAAAGCAGCAAGTCCTAACCCCTGGACCTTCAGGGAATTCCCCAGTGTAAGTTTCTTAGTGACTAAAAGGAGTCTCCCATTCATTTCTTTATCTGCTACCACCCCAGGTACCACCCCATCCCCCACCTGGGCATAAGGTCTTGAAGATAAGTGCTGATAAATGTCTCCTTGGTGTCCAAGAAGCATGTTTGATCATCAGTTTTTGTATAATACCTATTTCTTTTATTCCAGCATGCACACGTTTTACAATTTAACATCGGTGAAGTCAGGATTCATCCTATAATCACTGACTGCTATAATTTAACTAGCAGCATTTTTCCTCTCAGTGGTTCATAAACTATGGGGCATCTTACATTTGAGGGTGCCTTAGATTCAGTGAAACCAAAGCACCATCCAAGCACCTCTGGTAACGGTTATGTTTACTCGTCTGTCCTCTCTACGGACAGTCACTCTCTGCTCAAAGTTTCTTTAATCCCTGTTCTCCACTCCTACGGTTCTCCTCTTTACCTCATTTAAATTTCTACCTTTCTCACATAGAGTCACATTATCACACTGCAGTAAGACTATGCTAAATCCGAAGGTGTCATTGGCTCATGATAAAATGCTGTTTACAATTCTGTTTGCTATAGAATGAATGCCAGTTCACTATATAAGCTAGTTAAAATACATCTTTATTTCTGTTAAGTGTGAACAGGCCACCATGCTATAGGAGCTTCCATTTATGAAGACAACGTGGTCAGAAGTCAAGCAGTGTTGGAATTAAATGCAACAACTAGAGAAACAGGATGTATTTTTAATGACAATGTAATTATCATTCTTTGAGCAGCAGTGTGGCTTATAGAGTCTCCAGAGAGTAAAGGTTTCTAAACATTTCCAGATGCCCTGTACCATGCAATTTCCCTCTTTATGTACCTTCATTCTTCATTTGTTTACAAGGCTGGGAGAGCCACTGGTCTTGGGCCGGGCAACTACATGGAGGGGACGCTGTCCCCATCAGCCTGGGTGTGGAGGGAGAGGTTGGGGGACCTGCCATGACTCCCAGTGTTGCAGAAATAGCTCGTCTCTCACCTCTTCCTGCAAACTAGGATCCAGCAAAAAAAAAAAAGATGACTTGCCCCACAAACTCTATACTCAGCAATCCCAAACCATCCTGCCTCTCTCATGCTTTTTGCTCAGGCCAATCCTTCCATCCACAGCAGCACTAATAAGACTTTCTGTGACTGTGGAAATGTGTTTTAACTGCACTATCCAATAGAGCTGCCACTGGCCACATACGGCTATTGAGCAGAGCACTTGAAACTTGGCTAGTGCCATGTGGCAGGAACTCAGGTGTTTTTAACTTTAACTAACACAAATTTAAGTTCATGGCCAGTGGCTACCATACTGGAAAGCCCACATCTAGCATGTGCTTTCTACATGTGCACTTGGCATGAACATTTCTTCTCCAGACCCCCAACCTTCAAGGAACAGCTTAGAAGCTGTTATCTCCACGAGATTCAGTCTTCCACTGGAAATCATTCCTTCCTCAGAGTTTCCATTACACATTGAACCATTTTTGTTGCATGTAACATTTTTAATGTATACATAACCACTTACCACATCCTTGACCAGTCCTTTCTCTGAGGGCTGTGTGAGAATATAATTATGTCTTATTCTTACTTTGGATCCCACTACGTCTAGTGCAGTGAAAAAAAGTGAAAGTATTAGACTCTCTGTCATGTCTAATTGTTTGAGACCCCATGGACTATAGCCCATCAGGCTCCCCCGTCAATGGAATTCTCCAGGCAAGAATACTAGAGTGGGTTGCCATTCCCTTCTCCAGGGGATCTTTGCAACCCAGGGATAAAACCCAGGTCTCCTGCATTGCAGGCAGATTCTTTACCCTGTGAGCCACCAGGGAAGCCCAATATCTAGTGTAGGGATGTTTTTAAATGTTTGTTACATGAATCTTCTAATGACTGGAAGCAGAATTATTCACATTGACAATGAGGAATTGACAAGGATTATTGTGTAGTACAGGATTACCTTGACAAAAGACAGATTTGGGCCTTGGCCTCCAACTCTTGAGAGGTAATGTCTGGACCCCTGAACTGTCCTGCCTGATAGGAGGGTCTTAGTTCCCCTGGGGGCCTACAGCCATGCCAGATGGTCTAGGCTAACAGTTTGATTTACGATGGGGTCTTGGGCTGAGGGTTATCAGCTCAGCCTCTGGAGGAATAACTAAGGTCAGCCATATGGGGAGTCAGCTCTATCCAGATGGCCAGCCCCCCCTAAAAAAAACTCTGTACCTTCATGGGTTTGGGCAGTGTTTCCCTGGTAGGCAATATTCAGTGCATATTGTCACATATTGCTGAGAAAAATAAACGCTGGCACAGGCTGGGTATTCAATATTTAATGAGTGGCTGAATAGATGGATGAAAGAATGATATCCCTTAATACTGCAAAATCATGGGAGTTGCCAGACTCACTCAGGTCAAATCATTTCCTGTTTGGGATCTGAGTTTTCCTTTTTCTTCTTTCCTAGATAGGCACTTAGTCCAGGTGTAGAGTTTACAGATTTCTTTCATTTCCATTTTGAATCCTCATTTCCTGTCTCCTATCAAGAAAGCCCCTAAGCTCGCCTTTCATTTCCCCCTTTCCTCTATAACAGAATCCGAGGCTTTGTAAGGGTCTCAGAATATTCATCTGGGAGGCATTTGAGCCTTTTCTTTATTGGAAGGGTGCTCTCATGAAACTGTTCACACCCAAGAACAGAAGACAGTCCCCGAGAGGCAGGAAGTGGGACAACACAGCATGAATGACGAGCACGCCCATGAGGTCTGGGGAAGGGCAGCTGGAGGGCTCCTGGGGTCCTCCAAGGGCCAGGATGCTGCTCAGGGTGGTCCAGGAGCTGCTGCTCTGTGGGGGGACACGGTCAGCAGGTCCATGTGCGGGCAGCCCGCCAGACCCCAGAGATGTCCATATCAGGCAGGAGAGTCCAAGGGTCTAGAAGTTGCCTTCACCAGGCACAGGTTCGGAGCCCCTAGGCAAACACTGACCAATAAATCAAGTTGAAAAATATGTAGGAAGCTGGGAATATCAACCGGGAGTATTTGTCGATGGCGTGGGTGTTCTGGAAGATGCGAAGACCCACCTGGCCCTTCAAAAGCCCCTTCTTCCTGGAGGAGCTGGATTCATTGCTCAGGGCCAGGTGGACCCCTGTCTTGTCTTGTCTTTCTTCTTCCGTCAGAATATGGCTTCTCGGGTAGCCGGCCAGGCTGTTGGCCTCGGACTCGCTGCAGCTCCCATCCAGCGTCATGGTTCTTGAGTGAAGCATTCCGCACATGCACGGGAACTGCAGGCAGCAAACACAGAGGAGACGTCAGGCGCGTTTAGACCTGGAAGGGGTCCAGACGAAGGGGCCTGCGCTGAGAGTAAAGCCCACAGCTATTCGGAACCACAGAAGGCAGAACTAGCAACATCTCCAGAGGTCGCTTTGTCCCATGACTCTCTACCCTCTCTGCATATTAGAATCACCTTGGGAGTACTTAAACTGCGCACCCCAGGCTCCACTCTAGACTAATTGATTTAAGGCTCTCAGGTTATTCTGCTAAGGAGAACCACTTGTCTAGTCCAAACGCCCTCAGTTACAGAAGCAAAAGCTAAGAACAAGAGAAGCTATACAACTCTCCTGGGATCAGACAGCCGGTGTCAGAATTAGGACCTCAAATCCACATATTCTGGTTCCAACCAGGGGCCCCCACCTCTGTGTTTAAACACAAAGATGATTAGGTAGGAGACTGTCCTTATTTTAAAGGGTTACATTTAAGGTTCAAGGGTCATGGTGCCTGCCTGTTATGTATTTTTATTGTTTTATTTTATTTTTTCTTGGATAATCCTTTAAGTATAATTTATTTACAATGTATAGTTTCAGGTATAGAACAAAGTGATTCAGTTTTATATATCTAAGTATGCCTATGCAGATAGATATAGATATATATGAGACCTTTTTCAGAGTCTTTTCCATTATAGGTTATAACAAGCTGTTGAATACAGTTCCCTGTGCTATACAGTAGGTCTTTGTTTATCTATTTTATATACAGTAGTGTATGTCTGTTCATCCCAAACTCTTAATTTATACCCTGCCACCAACCCTTTGCCCTGTACTTTTAAATGGTTCAACTGCACTAACAAAAAAATATATGAGAAAAAGTTCACACAAAAATGGCAAAATGTCAGCAATGTTGGATGGAGGGGCAGGGTGTATGGATGTACATTATCCTATTTTTTCAACCACTTCTGCAAGTATGAACATGTTCATGAGAAATTATAAGGTGGAGGGAGGGAAATGGTTTTACTTAACGCCTCACAATTTGAGTCAGCAAAGTTGGCACCAGTTAACGTTTGGCTCATGAGCCCATGTTTGTTGAACGAAGGCTTTGACATATTTTGAATGACTCTATACAGGAAAGTCCAATACTTTCCTGTATAAAGTCCAAAAGTATTTAAATATAATCCAAAGGTATTTGATAATAACCTATGTACAGATTATTAAAAATTTAAACAAAGATTCACATACCCAAGTGAAAAGGATTTGTGTTTGATGGATGCTGGACAAAAGCATGATGCCAGCCTACTGACCATGGGTTTATCTCAGTCTGTTGGCAGTAACATGTTTCCAACTCTGCTCTCAGCCCTGCTGTGCCTTTTCCATCTGGGAAAGTAAAATAATAACTTTTCACACCCTGGCTCCTATTATCATGGATCTTGAAATATATAGATGGATACCAAGAGGCATTAAGATACAAAAATAGATGAAAAAAATCAAAATTACTTGAAGTATTTTCACACTTGAAGAAATCTCTAGTTTAGAGAGCTGTTTTTTTAATCAGGCATGATTGTTTCATTATAAGTTCTATATCTTGTCCCATCAGCAACAATAATTAAGTAGCCCAGTAATACATTCCTAGAATAATTAACATAGATTTTAAGGATAAGGGTTAATAAGAGGTCATGTATTCAATTCTTTGCATTTAGATATAATCACACCCAAACTTGGTAAAATTATGAGACATTGTTATATCACTGTGACTTCTTTTTTTTAAGACACAAGTCTTTACTCCTTTTCCTTGCTCTAAGCTGAAATTCTGTCTGCTAAAATAAAAACAGACTTTTAAGATTTTGAGTTATAACCAAAATTATGGAAAATCTCTATTTCCCCCATCAGCTCATTGCTGAGAAAAATTAAGTGGCTCTCGGCACACTGGGCAGGTCTGGATAATCAGCCAAAGAATTTGAGCACATGGGGTGGAGCGGACCCCGTGCCTTCCAGCTTCAACCCAAAGCAGCATAGAGCCCCCTTTGGAACCCGGGTAAATCTAGCAGGCTCTGGTGAGACTTGCCGTCTGCAGAGCAGAAGTCAAACTTCAGTGGACATCAGAATTGCTCGGGAACTTGTCAGCAATGCCAATTCCAGGGTGCCAGCTCCAGAGAATCTGAATCCATAGATATGGGGTAGGCCTGGAATCTTCAACTTTAGTAGGCTGAGAAAGTGAATCCAGGCCCCTTTGGGAACCTCAGCTCCCCTGGGGGCCATGTTAACAGTCGTGAATAGTGATTTCTCTGTGGAGCAGTGAGAGAGAGATTTCACGCCTTCCCACCTGTCTACTCTCCAGCAACTATACCTTCTCAGCCTTTCAATCACATGTTTGACAACAGTGGACAGCAAGCCCTTACTGCCCGGGTTTCTGTTCCCATAGACAGGGAACTAGACTTGGGGCCAATCATCTGTTCACTGAGGACTTCCTCTTTGCTCCTTAGATAGCATCGTATGATCACTGCCCAAGACCAGGTTCAGGTAATAGGTTGATGATCTGCCTGAGAATATGTTATATGAGGTTAATAGTTCATAAGTCCATATTTGTCAGGGGAAGGCTTTGTTATTTTTTGAAAAGTTCCTCAAAGGAAAGCCTAACAGATTATAAATCAAGTAGATTATAAATCTTAAGTAGAATCAAAGGCATTTGATAATGATCAATAAAGCTGAGCACCGAAGAATTGATGTTTTTGAACTGTGGTGTTGGAGAAGACTCTTGAGAATACCTTGGACTGCAAGGAGATCCAACCAGTCCATCCTAAAGGAGATCAGTCCTGGGTGTTCATTGGAAGGATTGATGCTGAAGCTGAAACTCCAATACTTTGGCCACCTCATGTGAAGAGTTGAATTATTGGGAAAGACCTTGATGCTGGGAGGGATTGGGGGCAGGAGGAGAAGGGGACGACAGAGGATGAGATGGCTGGATGGAATCACCGACTCGATGGACATGAGTTTGAGTAAACTCCGGGAGTTGGTGATGGACGGGGAGGCCTGGCATGCTGCGGTTCACGGGGTCACAAAGAGTCGGACATGACTGAGTGACTGAACTGACTGACTGACTGAATGTACAGATTATTGAAAATGTGAACAAACATCCAAATGCTGAAGCAGAAAAGTTCCAAAGAGAACTTCAAGTGTGTATCTTAAACATTCTAGCATATTTGAAAACACCATGGAAATACTTAGCAGATATATTGTGGAATTGAAAGACTATTTTTGAAAATGCAACACATTGTCTTTGCCTAGAATTTAAAGCTCTCTTATGCAAAGGAGCTCCCAGACACCTAGACATGCATCAATGTAGGACTTTTCAGTCCCCTAATCTCTACATCTTTCAGATGAACATCATTTTTATTAGTGCAATGATGAATAAGGATTTGGTAACAAGTTGGCATTTTATTTCTTAAGGTGATCAATAAGAGTCTGTGTGTGAATAGAATAGACTTTCCCTCTCTGCCCACACGCATTGCCCTGAATTCCCCATTTGCATTCCATCTCATAGTATACTTTAGTGTAGTGCAGTGCTGTATAGATAGCACAGTATTTCCAATGAGCCTAAAGGCTAAAGTCTCAGGATCAATGGGCCAGAGAACTGATAAATATATGAGTTTTTTTATGCTAGAATTTTCCTCTTGTCTGCTCAAAGGCCATGGAGACATTTCCCCTAGACATGTTCAGGAATGATAGTGAGACTTCATGTGCATCTAGAACCATACAATTTCAAAATAACTTTCCCATACGCTATTGCAAGGGTGTTGTAACCCTTAACAGAAACCCTGGGAGGTAGGTGGGGTGAGGATTCTGTCACGCTTTTCTAAAACAGATGAGGAAACTGAGGCCCGAGAGAAGTTGAGGAGCTGAGATTAGGAACCCAAGTCTTCCTAGCTTTTGTCCAAAGACTAGCTACTTTCTGGGGTCCTTTGTGACAGAAGCTAGACTATTCTGAAATGGTTCCTCCTCCTTTTGCACAAACATCTCCCTTTCCTCCCTCCGGCTATCCTCATCCAACCCGCAGCATGGGCTCCAACCAGGAAATGAAGGGAACTTCTCTCGCCTTCTCCTGCGGCTTCCGCGCCTTGCGCTCCTGCACGGTGGTCAGGTAGTTGACGGCCGCGTACTCCAGCACGGAGAGAAACACGAAGACGAAGCTGACCCAGAGGTAGATGTCCACGGCCTTGATGTAGGACACGCGGGGCATGGAGGCGTTCACGCCCGTGATGATGGTGGACATGGTCAGCACCGTGGTGATCCCTGCAACGTCCAGCTTTAGTTCAGCCTCTGACAAGCGTACACGGCTGCCCCATTTTACATTCTCTCTCTCTCTCTTATATCCAACCAGAACTGCCCCTGGCAGATTTCCACCTCATAGAGGTGTGAGGGTCTGCTCCGCAGCAGCCACCCCGGTCTCCTCCTGGACCACTCACTGCATGTTCCCTTTTGCTCTGAGCTCCTTGGAGCTGGGGGTCTCTGTGATGTGACCGCCAAGATCCATGGTTCATCCCAGAGGATCTGCTCAGATGTGGAATTTAAAGCAGTTGACTGTGAAAATCAACTATACTTCAACAAAAATTAAAATTTCTTAATTTAATAAAAAATTAACTAATTTAATTTAATTTAAATTTAAAACTAATTAAATTAATTTAATTAAAAAATTTAAAAGCAGGGGCTAAAGATCCCCTCTCAAGGAACCTTCCCAAACCTCAAGAGAAGAACATATCCTCCCTCATCTGAGTCCAGAAAGCCTGTCTCACCAGTTTCTTCCTCACTGTGCCTTGCTGGTCAAACCCAACCTGATTTTGTCCAAATTGACAATGATGAGGTGCAAGCGTTGACTCTGACACAGGGGCTTCCAAGGCTAAGCCACCACTCCAGGGAATGCAGCTCCCCCTTCCTTCCAAGAAACCACGAAACATGGGCCCTGCTCCCAAACTCTGTCTAAACAAAGCCAACAAACAAAGTTTTTGTGTTTACAGAGTAAGTTTGGGCATTTGTCGAATTGCCTCACTTATCAGAGTACTGAGCTCTGACACCCCCAGTGGTAGAGATCCACATCCCAGAAAAGTGCTTTCTTCCTGAAATGACTTGAGCAGAGGTGGTGTGGTCTGAGCTCCCTGAGGTTTTCACCACGTGGTCTGGGAGACTGAGGGCAGTGTGGAGTTGGAAAGCAAGAAGCAGGAGGAAAGTTCGCTCCTCTGACGCAGACAGACCGTCAGTTAAGAACCCTGAATGGTGCCTTTTACTTCTCTACATAGTGACTGGCTGAAAAAAACAAAACGGAAAACCCACCCTGCCACACCTTATCAAGTGCTTTTACCCAGTGAGACTCTGGCGGGCACCGCTCTGCGGTCGATCCAGAAGGACACCCAGGACAGCATGACCATCAGCGTGGCGGGAAAGTAGGTTTGGAGCAAGAAGAAGAAGATGTGGCGACGCAGCGTGAAGTTGATGTACAGACGGTTGTACCAGCCTGTGGGACACAGGAAGAAGCCAGTGAGATCCCATCACAGAGGCAAAAACAAATTACTTTCCCGGGAGCCCTTCTTTCCCCATCATCATATTCATCTTCGGCAGAAAGTTAAAAGTTCATGATTGGGTGCCTTAGTACAATAAGCTTCCTTTCTAAAATCTAATCCCTCTGAGCCTCAGTTTTCTGGTCTATAAACTGGGGAGAACATCAATATTATCTACACCATAGATTCGTTGGGTAGACAGTAGTTAATTCATATAAAGTGCTCAAAACAGCAGCACATAATGAAAAAGAAATTCTTAAAAATGGCTTTAGGGGCTCCCCTGGTGGCCCAGTGGTTAAGACTCCACCCTTCCATTGCAGGGGGCACAGATTCCACCCCTGGTTGATCCTACATGCTGTCTGGTGCAGCAAAAAAAAATGATTTGTTTCAAAAAAAAGGCTTTAGAAAAGAGTTGATTTAAACTTGCCAAGAAGAGATGAGAAAAGAAAACTGTGTGCCAAACAGACATCAGAGCAGAAGAGAAGAGAGGGATGCAGGTGAGCACCATGGACATAAAGGGAAGCTGGCGCGGGCGGTCCTGACACCCTTGGCTGGGGCTCGCTTCTCTCCACTGTTGCATGGTGTGGACAGAAGGGCGGGGCTGGGGGCAGGCGAACGGGGAGATAGTGGCCAAGTAGCAGACAGTAAGACAAAACCCTCTCACACCTGGGCCTGGGCTTCTCAGCGCTGGGACAGGAAGGGTAGGGAGTGAGAAGTCCTCTGTGGTCCTGTGGCTACTGCAGAGCTGTATAGTGTATAAAGGTACGCTGAAGTCCTAACTCCCAGCACCCGTCAATGTGGCTTTATGAGAAATCAGGTCTTTGTACATGTAATCAAAGTGAGGTCAGGTGCCTTTGAGTTAGGGTGGTCTGTAACCCAGTGACAGGTGTCCTTAGAGAAGAGGGCAGTTTGCACATAGATGCATAGAAACACGGGCTTCCCTGGTGTCTCAGACTGTAATGCTCTGCCTGCAATGCAGGAGACCTGGGTTCCGTCCCCAGGTTGGGGAAGATCCCCTAGAGAAGGGAATGGCTACCCACGCCAGTATCCTTGCCTGGAGAATTCCATGGATAGAGGAGCCTGGTGGGCTACGGTCCACGGGGTTCCAAAGATTCAGACACACCATGGACACACCAGAGGCACAGGGAGCCACGTGACAATAAAGGCTGAAGCCGGAGTAATGCCACCGCCAGGAGCTGAAAAGAGGCACAGAAGGGTTCCTTCCCAGAGCCTTCAGCGGGAGCAGAGTGCTCAGGCTCCCAGCCTCTGCACTGGGAGGGAACACATTCCTATTGTTTCAAGCATCCGGTCTGCGGTACTTTGTGAGGGGCCCCAGGCAGCTAGTTACAAGGGCTGATGGTGGCATCAAAGCAGAGCTCACAAATGGACGCTCTCAGAACTGCACTATGGACCCAGCGTCCAAGAAGAGGTCACACTGCACGTGAGAAATGAATCTGTGTCTCTGAATATAGGTTGTAAACACCTTTCCCTGAAAGCTATCCATCTATGTCGTTAAGTCAGATGAACCAGTTTACAGAATCGTGTGTAAAACCTGACTTCTGTCATTTTTCTGAGCGCCTCCCAGGTGGCCCAGTGGTACAGAATCCGCCTGCCAAGAGGGGACACCGGTTCTATCCCTGGGTTGGAACAATCGTCTGGAGAAGGAAATGTCAACCCACTCCAGTAGCCTTGCCTGGGAAATCCCATGGGCAGAGAAGGCAGGCAAGGCTACAGTCCATGGGGTCTCAAAAGAGTCAGATATTACTTAGTGACTAAACAACAACTTTGTAAAATTATGTAATTTTGTAAAATGACATAATTAATCAGGATGTCTGCAAGGATATTTGCTGAATTGTTCAGAATGAGTGCCTCCAGCCATGGGATTTCAGAGGGCAGCAACTTTTAAATCCTCTGCATTTAAGTGCTATTTTTGTTTTGTTGCACTATGCATTATTAAAATAATAAAAAAATGATTTTCATCAGAGGGGGCCAAAGAAGAATTCTAATGTGTTTTCTTCCACATGCAAACCCAACCGTGGCAGAAGTTAGCTACCTGTGCTGCTATAGAAGGCCAGCCTGGAAGTGGTGTGGAATTTCTGAATCAGAAACTGAGACAGGGAGATCTTTTCATCCGTTTTCAGGGACTCGTCCCCGTTCTTCCAATATAGCATCAGATCTTCATCTGTGTAGGCATCTTTGGGGAGAGGAAAAGAAGTTAATTTGACTCCCTGTCTTCTGAGGCAAGGAGGAGCAACAGGGACCTCCTACACCAGCCTGGGAGTAAATAGGTCTTATCTCTGGCAGGTGGTACTCAGCCTCAGAGTTACTAAAATGGCACACGGAGGGAAGAAGGCAAAGGTCTGTCATTACGAACACAGATACTTACAGCTTTCCAGCTCCAAAGAACAGGTCTGAGAATCCAGGGGAAAGTGGCTGAAATCCATGTTGCACATGGCGGTGACCGTAATCCTAGAACAAAACAAACATGTCGTCTCATGCAGTGACCTACTGACTCGCCTGTCTGCCCACAGTAAGGAGGACACGGACATGGTCAGGAGCGGCTGCCTCCTTCCGGAAGCTTGGAGACCCAGGTCTCTAAGTCAACTTTTTATTTTTGAGCACCATGTGGCCCACTGGACCTTATCTCCCCAACCAGGGATCGAACCCGTGTCCCCTGCATTGGAGGCACTGAGTCTTAACCACTGGACTGCCAGGGAAGTCCCTCTAAGTTAACTTTTAGAGTTTTGTCTTCTGTAAATGGTGGTATTTGCTCTGCCCGGATCCCAGCTCCTTGGGGTGTTGGTTGTGAATGACCCACACCGGTACCTCTTCCGGGCACTGTTCTTATTCAGAAAGCCACCTTCCCCAGAGATACCCAGAGGTTATGCCTCCGCAGCACCCTCTCAAAGTTATTAGCATCAAATTCTGGCAAACTGTACAGGCAGGCCTGGAAAGTGGGAGGTAAGACTATAATCACTCAAGTCAGCCCACAAGACACGATACGGTAGCCTCTATTAAGCAGTAGCTGTTGTTCTTTTGCTAATGTTTATTATTAATAAACATTGATAATATGTTTGATAGAATGATAGAATCATAGGCTGTCAGAGGTGGAGGGTGTAAAGATCATTGTCTCCCTCAATTCATTCAGGCTCAATTAGTCTCCTAACCCAAGCTTACGATCTCCAGTGATGGGGAAGTTACCACCTATTATGGTGGCCATCTCATCTTTAGAGAGTTCTGTTATCAGAAGGTTCAGACCTCCCATGTATTCCACAGACCCAACCACAGTGGCAAACTCTCCAGGGCCAAACGGACAGACCACACATTTTTTTTTTAATAGAGGGCTGTTTTTTCTTTGTGGTGGTTTTTTAACCCGAAATTGAATAGCTAATTCATTCTACAAATGCTGTTTCCTCACCTGCCATGCAAAGCACAGTCTAGCTCTGACGACACGGTGGTAAATCAGTCACACCCTCCCCGGCATCGTCCACACGTGTTAGAACGACTCTAGACGGAGCCCATGGCCCCGGGGACGGTTACCTCATGCTGTACAGCACCTGCCCGTCTGGGAACACCCTCAGCATGATGTTGTCCGTGGTGGTGTCGTGGATGAACGACCTTTTGGAGTGAACGAAGAAGACGTCGGGGACCCAGATCTTCTTCACCAGCCGGCCGTCAAAGGTCATGCTCTTGTTGCTGGCACTGGGGAAAGCCAGCCGCTCATCCTTCCAGTAATGCCGCAGGTACAAGGTCATGGTGAAGTCCTGTGGAGCCAGGGTGAGACCAGAGACGCCTGACACAGCGCCCTTCCTGACCGTCATTGCTGCATCCACCACCATGATGGATACCTCGGACCCAGCCTCCAGAGTCTGGGGGACAGTCTGCAGTCCTGCCGGACCACAGCTACCGCTGCCAAGGGAAAGAGAATGACTCATTCTCGTGCCTCGTGAGACTGGAGCCCAGGGGACTGTACAGCTCCTCCTTCAGGCTGTGCAAAGAAGAAATGGCAGCTGTGATGCCCTCTGGCTGGCATGGAGCCAGCAGGCCCGGATTCCCCCAAAGCCCTCCACCCTCTCCAATACCTGTGCACACATGGCTCCTTACCTATTGGTTCACCATTCAACTCAACTCAGTAGACACTTCCAGAAACCTGGACAGTCAAGGGTCCCATTTAGGAGGATTTCTACCACTGGACTTGTAAGATCTTTGAAGGCAGAATTATGTCCTGCCCACCACTGAATCTCCAGACCCTAGTTTAATGCCTGGAAGAGCAGAGAAGTGGATGCTCAATAAATATTTGCAGGGTGGAAAAAAATGAAGGGAATGAATGGATGAAGAGATAGGCAACAGTATAATTTCAGCCTGAAACCTTATTCTGTTAACAAGTGTCTCCGTGGTTGTGCCTTAAACCAAGAGTGAAGCCCTTACACTGTACCCAGACCTAAGACATAAATGCAGATGGGTCTTCTGGGAGCAGGTGGAGGAAGGCTGGAAAGATGCCTGTGATGGTGGGCTCAGAGTGGATGCCCATTTCTGCTCCACCAGCTCCACCCAGATCCCTCCTGCCTGTCCTGCAGGCCAGTCCCGCAGAAGTGAGCACCAACCAGCCCATCTCTTGAGTCCTTCACTTCCCTGTTCTGTCTGTATTTGCAAACTCCCTGTTTCTTCTGCCTCAGAGATCTCAGACAAGCTCTTGCTGTGCCCTCTCCACAGCTATCAGGTCTCAGCTGAAATGAGACTTCTTCAAAGAGGTTCTGGTGACCACCCAATCCTGCTGGACCCCACTGTAGGGTGAGAGGCGGGCACTGGGGATCAGAGACCTGCAGACTTCCAGGTGAATGCATCCACCTCCTGTGCCCCTCCGAGTGTGGCTCGTCTGACCACTCAGATTCCTTGAGGGGTGTGTTCAGAACATAAGGTGCTGGCTCTCACTCCCAGAGACCGAATCGGCAAGTCTGGCGTGGTGTCGAGGATCTGCATTCAATCAACACCCCCTCCCAGGCTGGGGCTTCCCAGACGGCGCCAGTTGGCGCTAGAACCTGCCTGCCAGTGTAGCAGAGGCCCGAGTCTGGGGTTCAGTCCCTGGGTCGGGAAGATCCCCGGGAGAAGGAAACGGCAGCCCACCCCAGCATTCCTGCCTGGAGAACTCCATGAGGAGCCTGATGGGCTGCCGTCCAGAGGGCCACAAAGAGTCAGACACGGCTGAGCGACAGAGCACCCTCCCAAGTTCTGACCCATGAAGATAGAGAACCCCGGCTCTAGATTTCACCGCACCTGGGTCAGCCGCCAAGCCCCAGCTTTAGCCCCTCCGGCTGCGGCGCCACCCCCAGGCGCAGCCGATCCCGCGCCGGAGCTGCCCGCCCAGGGCCCCGCGTACCATGTCCACCTCGGAGATGCTGTCCAGGCTTTCCACCTGCACGTCCACGCCCACGGGGATGGCAGGGCCTGCAGAGGGGCAAAGACAGCTGGTTAAGGCGCCTTCCCCGGGTGGGCGTACAGCTCCAGCCACCGTCCACGCGGGCCCTGAGTAGAGCAGGAGTGAGGCAGTGATTCGAACTCCCTGAGGGTTTTCTTACTCCTTCCCGACGTGTTGGGTGCCTAGGCGTTCTCCATGAAGGCTGGGACTGTGTCTACTTAAGTGCCTTTCCTAGGTCGCATATGTGTGTGCTGTCTCTTCAGTTGTGTCCGACTGTGACTCCATCGACTGTAGCCAGCCAGACTTCTCTGTCCATGGGATTCTCCAGGAGAGAATACTGGAGTGGGTTGCCACGCTCTGCTCCAGGGGATCTTCCTGACCCAGGCATCAAAACTGCATCTCTTAGGTCTCCTGCACTGGCAGGCGGATTCTTCACCACTAGCGCCACCTGGGAAGGCCAGGGTGGGTGTTTAATCTATGCTTATATGAGTGGATGAGCTGGATTATGTATATGTTATGCTTCTGTGAAATGATTTTTTTAGATTTTAATATTTATTTAAATTTGATCTTAATATTTTAAAATATTTAGTATTTTAAAAACCTCTTAAATGGGAATAACCAAAACCCTGTATCTGTCAGGCATATTAATGAATGCTATTCCACTCACAGGTAAAAGATGTCTTTGAGAGCATCAGGTGGCACCTGGACAGGGCCTTCTGAGAGGAAGGCATTGTCTGGAGGCCAGCCTGCTGCACCTGGGGTCGCTGGGCCCTGGCCAGTGGTTGAAGGACTGGGGCATGCCGACCCACAGTGATCTGAGCTGGGAGAAACTTAGGGTGGCGGTGGGAGTCTGGGTCTCAGGGAATGAGGACTGGGAGGGCCAGGGACTTCAGCTGAGGGCAGGGAAGGAGGATCAGAGATCCTAACAGGATCTAGTGGGTCAGTACATTGGATGGGCTCACCGATTTCCCCAAACCTCTCCCAGTAGGTTTGCTAATACTTCCAATCTTACCATAAGAGATTTGGGTTTTTTTGACTGAGCATGGTAGAATGAGAGCATTTTAGTTATTACTGGCGGGATTTCACGGCTATTTTCTGTGTCCTTAAACATGAACACAAATGAACAAACACACACCGCTTTTTTTCACCTGTCACACAGTGTAGCTTGTGGAATCCTAGTTCCCCAGCCAGGAATTGAACCCAGGCCCACAGCAGGGAAAGCACTGAGTCCTAACCACTGGACTGCCAGGGAATCCCCACTTTTTAATTTTACTTTTCCGCTCCCAGATTAATTGGGTCATAGGCTGATCTTTTTATTTTCCTGTGCTCAGGTCAGGGCCCATGAAAGATCACTGCTCTGGCAGCCAGTCTTTTCTTATTCCAGGCTCCAGGCAGAGTGGAATGGCCAGTGTGAGGCAGAGGCCCCCTCCTCAGGGCTGACTGCCGGTCTCTCTCTCCTGAGGGGACTGCAACATGAGGAAGGGTCTGCCGGCAGCCGGGCTGGGTCCCCGCTCCCAGCACCTAGACCCCCGTGCCGGACTGTGTACTCCCAGTACCACCGTGGGAAGCAGGGCTGTTTCCTCCCTTGTCCTCTGGATCTCCGTTACCCCTGAGACATTAAAACAGCCCCGGGCCAGAGCTCTTCACCCTCCCTTTCCCGTGTCCCCTTTCTACAAAGCACCACACGCCTGTAATGCCCGGTCACCCCAAAGCCAAGGGCAGAAATAGTAGAGCCGTCACCCTCTCTGGACCCCCTTCCCGCGCCCTGGATTTCAGATAATGAGTACAGTGTCTGACCAGATAAAGTACGTCAGCTCGCGTGGTGCCTGCTACTGCGTCTCTCTGTCCCCCGGGCCGGCCCGGCCCTCTGGAGCTCCAGTCGGTCTTTGGAGAGAAAGCTGGGAGGGTGAATTCACGGCTGTGAGGTGCCGCCCACACGGGAGGGCAGGGCAGGTGTCGGGGATCCTGGGCTGTTGGAAACCACCTGTGTATTCAGGAGGCTCCAGAGCTGTGTTCAGGGGCTCGCACCCCCAAGCTTGAATGGGACCAGCAGCTCTGCCTTCCTTGGTCCCAGGGCAGTGAAGGTCATCTTGGCCTTTGACCAGCCCAGCAGCCCAAGGCTAACGTTCCACCCTCAAGTTCTCCTGAGTGCTCCATTTCGTCACCCTTCCCAACCTGATTTTTGAGAAATTCTTCCAAATTACTGGCCTTTCTCCTTCTTCCATGAGCAATTTTATGTTTTTAGTAGGACTGAGCCCTAGAAGAGTAAGAAAGAAAATAGTCTAGTGAAGTTAACTAGGCATTCATGTCTTGGCTCCAGAACACTGATGTGGGTTTTTCAGCTTTAAGAAAATTGAAGATCCCGCTTGCTGCAACTAAAATCCGGCGCAGCCAAATAAATAAAAATTTTTTTAAAACTAGGAATAGGTACATAGAAATAAATCTAACAAACTATCTAAATGTCTTCTATAAAGAAAGCTATGAAGTACTGAGAAAAATGAAAGAAGACCTAAGTAAAGGAAAAATAATTTTCCTGAATTGGAAGATTCAATATTATAAAGATATTAATTGTGTGTTTACTTTGGCAACAAAGGTCCATCTAGTCAAGACTATGGCTCTTCCAGTGGTCATGCATGGATGTGAGAGTTGGACTATAAACTGTCGGGAAGCATTTAACCGAAGGATTCCTCTGTGCTGTTTCCTATCTCTCTTGAGCCCTCGCTTCCTTATCAGTCCCTTTCAGGGGCCAGAGGAGCAGGCAAGCCTCTCCCAGGACAGAGATCAAAGAGATGGAATGCTTGCATAGGATTTCCTTCATTAGCTTTTCCATTTGGTGAAAGGGGTTATTTACGACCCTCTTTTGTTACAGATCACCTCTTGGTCTTATGGCCTCTGGCTCCTTGCTTCCTTGGTAAACTTGTAAAGTCTGGTCTCTTGATCTTTATCTAAAGAAGCTACTGGTATATATACTCTTACAGAATTCAATAAAGCACCTTTGCTCCATCGGAGCTTGGGTCCCCGTGTCTGTCTGTCTGTCTTTCTCTCTCTCTCTAGCTCTGTATTTCTGGCTGATTCCCTGGAGCGCGAAAGCTGGCCGCGTAACCCAGGGAATATTAGCCTCTTTCCTTCTTTCACTCTCTCATCGTCAACTCCAGACCACCAGGTTCCGGTCCAATAAAGGACCAAGAATAAACAAAGTGAAAAGACAATCCACAGAATGGGAGAAAGTAGTTACAAATGATGCAACCAATAAAGGATTAGTCTCTGTTAGGGAAATTAAATGAATAGTCTTGTTTAGGCTT